GCCATGGTCTAAATAGGTACAACACAAGTCTCGTAGTATACAAGGTACTTTCAGTGTAATAATATGATACATATACAATTTATAAATTATATTGTAAAATCAACTTTTGAGTACAGTGGTCATAGATTAGTTAAATAGTATGCGCAAGAAAAGTGGGGCAACTCGAGTGGACCATTCTGGCTCGCTTTATGGCTCATTTTACTTCAAGTACAAAAATGTATTTTATTTTAATAAATGTTTTATTATCTAACAAATAATAAAATTTTGTGACAATGATACTTCCACTACAGAAAAATCATCTTTATTGTAAATTTTTCACAAGGTAATGACTGTGAATGACACAACATTTTTGCATCACTTAGGACGAAGTGCTTGTAAAGGAAGACTACCCATCTAAGCTTTTACTTATACAAGGTGACAGATAATTTGATGCAGTCCTTGAAAGGAATTATGGTAGAACTCATTCCCAATAAATTTTGTTGTACAACTTGTGATCGGATTGGTACTGTAATCATCGGAGCTCAATAGTACCTAAACGTTTTTTGGTATTTTCTACTAGTCAATTTAATACGAAATTAATTTTAAATACAAAATGCAATAGGTACTCAAGGAAAATTTGTTGAGCTAAAATATCTAATCTAATCTTGGAAATGAGCTCTACCATTACCCCTACAAAGAATATAACCATCGAATTATTGGTCTCCCTGTATATGGTTAAGTATTTGTACATGAGAAGTATTTACATGAGTTTTAACAAACTTAATGTGGCACTGTAATGGGAAATATACATTGCTTTTAATAGATTTTTTTTCTTCATCAGGCCCCAGTGGAATCCTGTAGGGTAATACAATAATCCACTGCAATGTCTGTTTGCGTTTCTTTGTCATAGCATGGAGTCCAATGACTTAGTTCCCCTGAGTGGTTAGGCTTTGTACGCACTGCTGACTTTTTGTCACTGTGACAGTATTGCTTTCTTTTTACATTTTTATAAAGAGACAATGTACCACTTATTCTTATCTGGATTGGAGAGACATACTGTCACGGTGACAAGAGACACGCGTGCGCGCGCGCCTTTATTGTTAGTAAATTGCATTTAAATATACACTAGTTAAATCCTATAATATCGTCCATTTGCGACGACACTGTGATATATCAAAAACAGTGGTTTTACAGAAATCGACTTTTAAACTTTTGAATGACCATAACTCTTAAAATAGGGTTAGGATTACCTAATTGTGTATGAAACGTTTAAAGATTAACTATTAATGAATTTAAATATTTATAGTAAGACAAAATTTTGCGTCTAAATTGATGAAATTATAGCGATTGAAAAAAAAAGAGACTACTTATCACGTTATTCTAGTAAAAAATAATATTTTGAAGATGGCAAGTTCAGTTGTCACGTTGTAGATGATATAAAAAAATATATTTATATAAGTCATTATTTAGATAAAACGTTGATCTTGAAAAAAAATTTTTTATTTTACTAACATTACAATCAGTAAAAATGAGGTAATTATTGGAACAGGCGAATATTTAGCTTTGCCATGTTAAATTTCACTTATAAAAATATTATCTAAGTAGACAGACAGTTGTATACATACAATATTTAAGTTCACATTAATTTTTCTTATTCTAAAACCTAATACTTATCAAAATAAACGAAAAACTCTCAAAAGTAAAACCTCGTAAACTACTACAAAAAAACACAGTAAGAGAAACTGTACTAAGTATGTATGTATGCAGAAAAAAAAATTGTAGGTACCTACCTACTAGGTTAGTAAATAGATGTTTTTTAATAGACTAGTTATGACAATTTAATCCTAAAACTATCAACGCAAAAATCGCCGTTTCCGGCGCATAAAATGGCAAAAAAGCGACATTTTGGTACCTTTTAGGGTCTTTTAATTTTTTATACTTATTTAAAATTAAATTTATAAAAGATATTTAAATAATGTATTAATAGTGAATAAAAAGTANGAGACACTGAGGACTATTTTTTTCTAGCCGCCTCGGTCACCAGATCTCACACTATGCGACTTTTTCTTGTGGGGATATCTCAAGTCAAAAGTTTACAGCAAACAATCCTTAAATAATTCAGGTTCTGTAAGAAAATGTCCGCCGTGAAGTTGCAGGAAAATTATTAGCGCGATTTGCTCTCGCATAGTTGCGAATGTAAGGGTCCGGCTGTGAGAGTGCCTATAGTAAAACGGGCATCATTTAAAAGACATTGCCTATAAAAAAATAAATCCGCATTGTTAAACTCCAGTTTGCATTAGTAATAAATAATAAAAAATCATTAATTTATTTGTATGAATAATTTTTTAAGTTGAAAAATTCCCACTGGACACCCTTTACTTCTTCTTCAGTTCCCAATATTTCAATATACACCGGAAATAATATTCTACTAAGAATTCATAATTCAATTTTTTGTGTTTTAATGCCGGTTTTCTTTAATCAATCCTTATTAAAAACAACTGTCAAACGTCATTATGTTTTTGGTCAAAACATTAACGGTTTTCAAAGTTTTTACATAATTTCAGATTGAAATTGAGAGTTGAAGGTCATTTTCGTTTTCGTTTTCGGCCGAAAATGGGACTGCAGCCGAAGCTTCGTTTTCGTTTCCGTTTTCGGCTGAAAATCCATATTCGGTCGGACACTAACCATAATATACTATGTTGCTGTGCGTATTTAATTTTATATATTTATGATTACATTACTGTTTTTATTACACTTATGAAATGGATGTCCCTACATCTTAATCTCTTCACTTTTGTTCTTAAAATTGTATAATATGACTGCTCAATTTAGTCATTTTTAGGGTTCCGTAGTCCTGACAAGGAAGGGTACCATATAGTTTCGATATCTCTGTCTGTTTGTCTGTCCGAGGAAACTATTGGCACTAGAGAGCTGTAATTTTGTGGAGATATGTAATATTAATCACGCCGACAAATCGGTAAAATAAAATTTGGAAAAAGCCGCGGACAAAAACTAGTCAAGTATAAAGAAATAATCTCTTTCTCTCGAATGAAGCAATCGGCTTGAATTTAAATCGGTGGCCTGCGCACCCACGCCCGATTCAACTGTTTATTTGGATCAGTGCGCGCACTGAGAGCCCAACCCGACTTAACTATCAGCCGACGAAAAATCAATGGTCTGCGCCTAGGCTAATAGTCATTTAACTCATGTATTATACAATTTCTAAACTAATAAAAGATCCTTAGAATAAAATATTAAAAGTGACTTTAGATGAAGTAATTGCTTACTTCTGAAATATATTGTGGTAACGACGGACAACTACGGAACCCTACACTGCGCGTGGCACGATAAGCACTTGGCTATTTTATTATTTACCTATTTTTAGTTATAATACTGTTATCCATTAATAGTTAAGTTATACGATTAACAATGATTATTTATTTTTGTTAATAATAATTAATAAAATGAGGCAATATAATGTGAAAGTTCAGTATTTAGTGCTTTATTTATGAAAATAGATCTAAAAAAAATTCAAACATGAATTAAAAAATATTCCTATGTTCATAAAAAATAGGGTTCTCATGGTGAAAGAATTTTTCATAATGTTCCTAGCCTATTCAATAAAAAATAAAACCGACTCCAAAAAACATACACTAAAAAGCAGAAAAATAATTTATTCATTTAGGAAGATTGACTTATTAGACAGTGTGAATCACGATAAAGTGCACATATGAAAATAAATAAATAACCTTTGGACATTTTACACTGCGCTTTTAGTCCCAAACTAAGCAAAGCTAGTACTATAGGTACTAGACAACGGATATAAACATACTTAAATACATTAAATAGTGAAACTAGACCTATTTTTATAGACAAAAAAAAAGTGGTCAAAATTTTTTTGAGATTTATTTAAAATATTTTATAGATTTCTTTTTATTTCAATTACTTATTGTAAAGAAAAGGTTAAAAACTTTTAAACTAAGAGGTATGTCCTGATAAAATAAAAATATTTCCATATTATGTGCACTTTATCGAGACACACTGTATACCATGATTAATACTTTAGGAGTCTGTGCCAAGCTCAGATCATAGAAAGAGAATAGATATGAAGTCGCGCGTAACTACAACGAGAACCAGTGTCCCCACATTTCCCCCACCACAGCTCCCACACACACATTCAACTGTGTAAAAACAAAGCGACTGAGAGTCTACGACAACATGTGCAACCGGCTTAAAAGTGCTGTGATTGGCCAGAAGGCATGCCTTATGGCCAATCAATGGCCGCGTGACGGGACGCACACTTTGAAAAAAGCAATTAGAGAGAAGAAAGATAAAATGGAGTCGATAAGATATCGATACTTTAAATCCTGGGGGCAACTTAACCGCAGCTGAGCCTAGGGTCTCTTTTGGCACGCTATTCAAGACGGCGACGCTGTTGCTCGTCCAGTTTCTTATTTCAAAGCCGCCGGCCCTGTGGATGTCAGATACATTTTTTACCATTTCGACCGCTGACGCCTCGTCGTCTATGCTATCAATATAGTCATCCATGTAGTGTGACTTACAAATTGCATCGATAGCAGCGGCCGGGTACTGCGAAGCGAGCCGCAGCGCGTTTTTGTTTTTTATAAACTGAGCTATAAATGGCGAACAGTTGGCGCCAAAAATGAGTGACGTCATTACATACGTTTTCATAGGTTCTGTGGGACTGTCCCTCCACAAGAACCTGAGAGCATCCTGATCCTCGGCGTGAATTTTGATCCTCAAAAACATGTCCCTGATATCACCTGTTACTGCGATGGAGTTCTCTCTAAAGCGCAGTATAATACCCAGCAGCGATGATAGCAGGTCCGGCCCGGTAAGTAAGTAGTCATTAAGCGAGTTACCGTTTACTTTGCAGGCGGCGTCGAAGACCAGGCGGAGCTTCCCTTTGTTGGGGTTGTCGACCCCGAAGTGAGGTAAGTACCACGTCCTATCAGTGGTGGTCGCGGGGTCCATCAGCTCACTGGCGTAGTCGTTCTCTAATGTCGCGGGATATTGCTATTTCTAGATTTCGTAAATTAGAGTACAAACTCGAGCGCAATTCGCAGCTCAAACATGATTATCACGCGTGCCTCCAGGAGTACTTAGAGCTCGGCCACATGGAGCCCGTCGATAGTCCAGCAGCTGCAGGTGGTAACTATTATATACCGCACCACGCCGTGGTCAAAGAATCTAGTGAAACCACCAAAACCAGAGTAGTTTACGACGCAAGCTCTAAGACTACAAACGGTTTTTCTCTAAACGACAATTTGTTAATTGGTCCAAAGCTTCATTTAGATATTGTTGATGTGTTATTAAAATTTCGCATTCATTTAATTGCTTTCACAGCTGATATCAAACAAATGTATCGTAACATTATGATTCGTGAATCGGATAGGGATTTTCAGCGTATAGTGTGGCGCACCTCGCCCGAGGAGCCCCTACGCGATTACAGACTTTGCACTGTGACCTTTGGAGTTAGCTCATCGCCCTATCTTGCTCTTCGCACCATTCAGCAGCTCGCTCATGACGAGGCCGCACGCTTCCCGCGCGCATCGCAGGTCCTCATGCGCGACGTATTTGTAGACGATGTCGTATCAGGTGAAAGTGATGAGTCACGGGCTCTCGCCCTACAACAAGAGTTGATAGGTATTTGTCAATCCGCAGGTTTTGAGTTGCACAAGTGGCATAGTAATTCTCCCGCCTTACTTCTCGGTTCTCAGCCGACAGTTTCTCATGGTGAGCGGTGCGAAAGTGTGCCCTTCGCACACATGGAGAATGACTCATCCACTAAGGTCCTAGGTATGCAGTGGGACCCGAACTTAGATACTTTTGGTTTCAGTGTGAAAAGTTACTCTGAAAAATGTACAAAGAGGTCCATTCTTTCAGAAATTGCACGTATTTACGACCCTCTCGGTCTTTTATCTCCAGTGACTTTATTTGCAAAACATTTAATTCAATTATTGTGGATTTCTTCTGTGGACTGGGACGAAACCCCACCACAAGACATAGTCGATTCGTGGGCTAGCTTTACAAGTCAGCTCCCACTATTATCTAAAGTTAGCTTTCCGCGTCATGTTTTCCCTCAAAATTGTAAATTACAGCTTCACGGCTTTTCAGACGCCTCCGAAAAGGCATACGCAGCATGTGTTTATCTCCGCGCGCAGCGCGAGGATGGTAGTGTGTGCGTGTCCTTATTGTTAGCGAAAACACGCGTCGCGCCTACGCGTCGCGTATCTATTCCCCGTCTCGAACTGATGGGAGGTGTTTTGTTATCACAACTTATTAAAAAGGTGTTACAAAATTATAGTGATAAAATACAAAGTGATCAAATTTATACTTGGTCGGATTCAAGTATTGTTTTAGCATGGTTGCGTTCACCGCCCCATGAATGGAAAACATTTGTTTCAAACCGTACTACGGAGATATTGAATATTGTCCCCGCGGATTGTTGGCGGCACGTCCCGTCGGCCGACAACCCCGCGGACGCTGCTTCGCGCGGCATGTTACCCGCTGCTTTCTTGCACCATGAGATGTGGTTTCATGGGCCTCGCTGGTTGAGCGAGGATGAAAGTATGTGGCCTGTTCCAAAGCCTGTTCTTCCTACTGATGAAGAAAAGCGTAATGTTGTGTTGTGTTCGAGTACTTCTACTCCAAACGAGGACGTAGAAATTATTTCACGTTTTTCTTCACTCGGTAGACTTGTTCGTGTTACGGCTTTGATATTTCGTTTCTATCACAAGTGTAGAAAGGTCAATATTTCAAAATTCCCAAAATTGGCGAAGTTATTGACAAAAAACCTAAAACGGCTCTCTTTACGGTATTGCCTCGCGCAACGGACCATCCGTGCAAGACAAGGACAAAACATATTGCTATCTCACGCTCTAGAATGTTCGAAGCGAGAGGTCCGATATTTCCGACTCGTTTCTTCTCTATTTTTTTCCTGAACATTCCAGATTTTCCAGAAAAGTGTGAAAGAGAAGCTATTTTGTGGAAGTGAGAGATCAGACAATGCAAGAAAGAGGCCTACCGAGTGAGTAAGCGAGAGAGCCTGATGGTTTTCGCTACGGTATTGCCTTTTTGGCGAAAATTTCATGTTCATTTTCTTAATTACGAAACAGATTAATTAGCTAATTTGCACTATTTGACATGATGCTGCCAACATTAATCTCGACTATTCTTGACGTCGCTAACATAACACGACTTTCTTTTATATACAGTGTGAGTCACGTTAAAGTGTACATATGAAAATAGATGAAACTAGACCTATTTTTATCGACAAAAAAGAGGTCAAATTTTTTTTGAGATTTTTTTAAATTTTTTAAAGAATTTTTTTTCTTCCAATTACTTATTGTAAAGAAAACGTAATAACTTTTAAACTAAGCGGTATATCCTGATAAAATAAAAACAGTAATAATGCTAAATAACAGGCAATACTAAAAAAATACATAAAATACACAAAAAAGCCCAACAAATAATA